TGTAAGTATCCCTGCAGACCTGTTTGCCTTCCTGTCCTCGATTTCGTTCGTAGATGGTGCTGTCGACATATTGACCAATTCACATCGGTACTGCTTTGTTATTGTTTTCCTGCTGTGCTGCTTTTCCTGCAGCACATTGTGGACACGGCTGCTACGAGTGTTGTGTACGACTACGACAAGATGATGGGCAGGTATAGTCCAAGGGTGCTATGCGTCCCAACACCGACGCCGACCTCTAGCTACAGTGACAATCACCGCTTTCCTATGAAGGCTCGTCATGAAAGCCGAAGTCGTGGACACCCACTATGCCTTGAACCCGAAAAACTGCAGCTTTAAGTGCTCACCTACATCCCTGCCAAGCCACCCTGGGGCCCGGGCTCCTGTCCGTGGTGCCGCAGTGAGTCCTGCCTGACTGACTGACTGACTTTGTGAGTTCATAAGCCCCAAAAAGTTTACACTTCCAATTTTATACTGGGTAATATGATCCCCAAAAGTGCAAAGTGTATCCACTCAGCTACTAAGCTGACTGAGACTGACTGACTGACTGACTGACTGACTGACTGACTGACTAAACAACAACACCGCACCAACAGCCACAGCCGCAGCAACAGCAACTGCAACCGCAGTATCAGCAATAGCAGCAGCAGCCCTGAACATGGGTTGAGCAGTCGGGGCAAGGGGAGGTGCATGAAGAAGGTACAGCCCCACGATTTCCCGCGAAAAAATACCCGCAACCTAACCGCCCTCCTATGCCGAGGGCGTTCTGCGCGCGATGCTTCCCCAGAGAGCCCAATACCCCTTAATTAAGGAATATAGCTTAAATCATAATATGAAGCCCCTTATAATTTAAGGTATATTGCGTAATTAAGGGGAATTGGGTTCTCTGGGTCCCTGGACTGAAGGATGACTTGGGATTGACTTCGAGGGAGTCTTGGCAACAGCTACCTGTAGCCGAAAAGACCTACCTTTTGATGGAACTGTATATGGGAGTTTCCCAAAATAGGGGTACCTTATTCTGGGGTCCTTATAATAAGGATCCTACTATTTAGGGTACTCTATTAGGGTCCCCTGTTTTCGGAAACTCCCATATAGAAACCATAGTAAGGAGCCACCAGAAAGGCAGGTCTTTTTGGCTACAGGCATAGCTATAGGGACGGGCTGGCCACTCAGCAGCGAAATCTGAAGCTGCACAGCCATCCTCTAAGCCCATCTAAGACCAGAGGGTCGAACTCTAAAACCTTTTCCCTGCTTCATTGCCTTGTCAGCCAAAGCCACGCGTTGCGAAGCACAAAGACTAGCAAGAGCAAACAATAGATCACCTGGACAGCATGTTTAAGGTATTGCATGCAAAAACCTGGCTGTTGTTTAGGCCCAGCCCCGCCCTCCCACTTCACAGCCTGCACCCTAAAACCACCAACAACAGTACTTGGAGGGTCGGGGGACTTAGTAAGTAGGTAGTAAGTAGACTTATAAGCACCCTAAAAGGGACCCTAATTGGGGTTTATGGTACTTATAAGTCCCTAAAATGACCAGTTGCTAAGTCCCTCCGACCCTCCAAGTACTCTAAACCCTAAACCCTATACCCTTGTAGAATCCCTATAGATCCCTTTTAGGGCCCCTGAGGAACCCATTATGTTACTAAGTCCCCTAAAGACCCTCCCAGCACCGGCCTCAGGGAGCTGAACATCGCAGGAGGCGACCAGTGGACCGCCTTCTGCAGCTCTCGTGCCTGGGACGACCTGCTGAGGCTTTTGGTACTACGCCTTAAAGCATATTAGGGATACTTTTATAACTTATATGAGGGATCCGGCTAGAATTTAAGAAATATTTCTTATTTTTGGAGTTTCCTGTGGTCGGATGGAGAGTTAAACACAAGCTCTGTAAAGCAGTGCCCCTGTGTCCTGAATACAGAGACCTCGACAATGGGAACCTCTGGTTCAAGAACTCCCTCCTATTCTCCTCAAACCCTCAGCTTTTGCCCGGCCTGTAGCCACAGTGGGCAGCAGTGTACGCTCCCAAATTTTGAATACACACCTGGTCAGAGCTTCTAAGATTATGGAGCAGAGTTTGAGATGATATACGTTATGTGGCTGAATGTGAGCAATGTCCGGCAAATTGGTCGCGGGGTGTCAAGTGTGATTGTACTCAGATGATGGACACAAGATGGACAGAGCTGTTGATTGAAGTAACCAGGGAGAAAAAGTATAGACTTTTATTTCATAATGGTTCCTTTAAGGAACAGGCACCCCAAAAAAGTATTCAAGTATGGTACTCGAAACCTAGGCCCTAATCCTAAACCCTAAACCCTGAACCCATAAACCCTAACCCCCTCACACTCTGTACCCCTAAACCCTAATGCTAAACCCCTGGTACTCCAAACCCAGGACTCAGAGTATGGACACAGGATGGAAAGAGCGGCTTGGTGTGGGGAGCTTCTCAACTCTCCAGATGGGCAAATGATTTGTGTCTACCCAGGGTGCCCGAGACCCCTTCATTCAGGAGTATATGGTTTAGGGTTTAAGGATTTAGGGTTTATGCCTGCGGCTCAGAACGCAGTCTTCTTGATGGAGCGAATTCCCTTAATTCAGGAGTATTTTAGGAGGGGCCCCCACCCTGCAACAGTGGTATAATAGGAATATAATGGGGCCCTAATATAATCCTTGTAGTGACTATTACAGGGTGGGGGGCAGCTTCTAAAGTATAGCGTGAATCATGATGTTACGGGCCGCTCTCCGTGAAGGTAAATTCTTTGTTTTTGTTGGAAGGTAATGGGCTCTCAGTGTAATTCTCAATTCAGTCGGGAATTCTTCTCATGATTCAAGGTAATAACGGGAACTTACTATTTGGAATAGAGATTTGGGGTATGTTTTACTGTCATTATATGGGGAGTCGAAGGGGATACTACCTCGAAGTATTCAGGTCCCTATGAAGTCTCTTATATGAACCAAACTCCGCCTTCCTCCTTCAATTTGGCGTGCACTCGCTACCAAATCTTGGGTTAATTGAACCTCAAGCCACAACTCTCCTAATCCTGGTTTGTGCCTCCGAAGCTGAAGGGGCTCACATCAACCGCCAGCAGCTCAAAAAACCGTCTACCTGGATCAACAGCATGCGCCATACTCGTCCTGTCGTTGCAGAGGCTCAAAGACAACGCTTTGTTCCAGACTTGCTGTGCGTTCAGGGTTCTTAGACCCGTAACCCATTGCCAAAATACCCCAAACCCTAAACTTTGACCCCTGAACACCGAGAGTATACGACTCGAAAGCATGGCCCTCACAGCAAGATCTGCGGTCAAAGCCCTACTGACAGCACCGAACCTTTGAACTGTAAACCGTTAATCTCAGGCCCCGAGCTCTCAAACTCCAAACCCAGATGTCCCAAATGGCATTATGAATGGCGGTAAGACCTGAAACAGTCTCAAACCGCAATACCTGAAGCATCTATCTCCGCAGGCTCAGATTCTCACCCTGCGGCCATGCAAGGCGTTGCACAAACACCCGGCTGCTGGGAAGAGTCCTTAGGAAGCATAAGTCCTTTGGGGCTTAATGGCTTTGGATGCTCTGGGTTAAGGGTTTAAGCTCTCGGGTGTAGATCAGCAAAAGAGACTGTCTCCGAACCCTAAACTCTCACACTGAAATCTTGTCTCTCAGGATTTCGGACTCGGTTTTGAACAAACACCCAGACCCCCGGGAGGATCTAGAAAGTAGATCCCCTAATTTGGGGCCTTATACTACTAAGGATACTTTGTAGGAACCCCCATGAAGGGATCTACTTTTTGGATCCTCCAAAGGGGGGTCTGGGCACTGAAGCTCGTCAATGCGCAAAACCTGGTTAAGCTTGAGGTTCGAGGGCAGATCCAGCGGACGCCGTCACTTGGAGGGTCGGGGGACTTAGAAGCTAGCTACTTTAGGGACTTATAAGTACCATAACCCCAATTAGGGTCCCTTTTAGGGCACTTATAAGTCTACTTACAACCTACTTACTAAGTCCCCCGACCTTCCAAGCACTGGTAATGGAGAAGGGGAATGCAAGGGCATGCCCTGATGGAGATGACCTTTGTTTCGAGTAGTTTGCGCTACAGTCACCTGTGTAGTTCTTTGAATTAGGGCCCTTTTTTGGGGTCCTTGTACAAGGGTGTAGTATTGTTTCTGGGACCTTAATTTAGAGAACTACGCGCGTGAGTCCAGCCTTGTGCGAGATTCTCTTGTTGCTTGCTCACGTCTGCAAATTCCTAAATGTCTAGTATCCTCCGGAACTACAGGTTGACCTGTGGGAGTACATTGGGGTTATGGGCCCCCAAGAAGTAAAAGTTACCTTTACGCGACTACTAGGAATTTGGTTGAGCTACAGGATTGGTGCTTCCAGACCTTTCGCAGACTCCCTCCTTCGATAACAGGCCTTGGGATTTTCTTGGAGTCTAGCGTGGCGGCTCAATATTTGCGTGTCAAATTTTAGGATCTAGGTCTGGGGTTTACGGTTTTGGGATCAGGTGCACAAAACATGTGCGGTCCCTTTCTGCCAGCACGTTGCCCAGCACTTCGCTGCATCCCGGTTCAAGCTACAAGCTCTATCACCGGGCTACTCTGCCCTGAATGGCACCAAGGAGAAGGGGCAGTTTAAGACGGCTGTGCTTTCCAGAGGGTTCCTTTCAAGGTTCCGCATGGTCTAGGTGCAGCATGCTTCCGTGGGAGAGACATGTCAAGGCTTCCTCTTCGATAGGAACTGAAGATGATAGAGTTCCTGCATATCTGCTCTAGCGATTGCGGGGTTCAGGTCCAGAGTTTAGGGTTTACGATTCAGCATAAAAAGGTGGGACAACACGGATGAACAACAAGGTCCAAGTGCCCATTGTCATCCTCACAAGGTGTTTCAACTAAACCCCGAACCCTGTTCGCCAATGAATCCTTGATGAACGGGAACTTGATCAGACCATTCTCGGACCTGTATTACAAACCCCATGCATAACTATTCTGTACTCTACTAATTTTGGCTCCTTTTGCTCACGATCGCTTGTCAGCCAGGATGTACGCCATGTCAGTTTGACCTGCGGGGCGGTCGGCTTGGAGTTTACGGTCGGGGCAGGGGTTTAAGGTAAGGTTCGCGTTTCGGATGTAGGGGTATACGAACTAAATAGTTATCCGGTGGGGGCGGGGTTTTCCGTAACCAGGGTTCCTATGAAACTTACCCTCAACCCTAAAGCCCTGGCTCCTCAAAGCCCAAACCCCAAACTGCTAAAACCCTCAATCCTAAAACTCCTCAGTAAGCCGGGGCCTTTAATTCCCGGTTCCTGAATCTCCAGCCCCCCCCAAAACGAACAAATATGGCTAGGCAAAGGGGCCCGCGGCCCAATTAATTCGAACAGGGCTTGCTTTAAGGGGATCCTTAAAGGGTTGTATAAGGGAACTATAATAGGGTTCTATAGTAGGGGCATTATTAGACTAGGGTTTTGGGCCCCTTTATAGTACCATGAAAAAAGGAACGCTAAGGAAACATATTGGTAATTACTTCGGCTTCTGTAGTAAACAAAAGGGGCCTTAATGATTCTAAGAAGGCTCCGTTTTTAAGGGTTCTTAAGAAGGGGCCTATTTTGGTTACTAGAAGGGGATTCTTGGGGGTCCAGCACAGGGGCCTTAAGAACTAGAACATATCTATGATGAGGAACACTCACAAATAATCTGGACTTTGAAGTAACCAGGGAGAAAAAGTGTAGGCTTGTATTTCAGAATGGTTCCTTTAAGGAACAGGTACCAAAAACAGTTTTCAAGTATGGTGCTCCAAACCCAGGATCTATGATGAGGAGGTACAGTACAAGCCAAAAAGTTAAAACCCGATAGCCTCAATCCCTAAGAGTAAAGTATAGGGAATCCCAGCACTATTTGTCCTTAATTCGGTTTCCAACTTTTTGGAGTTTGCTGTAATGCCTCCGACCCCTGCATGTTTGGAAGGAACTAGAGCTTGCCCAAACTGGCCTGATGCACTGGCCTCCATGGCATCACGGAGCATCCGCTCAACCTCCACGGTATAGAGTTTAGGGTTCTTGATTGTGGGATGTTGTGATTGACAGTCATGGGTATTTTTCAACTATTTGGCAAAAGTTGGATCAGTCTTTCATTCTCGTGGTGGTATGAACGAATGGCATAGCAGTGGCAGTAGCAGTAGCTTCAGCGGCAGCGCTACTAGTAGCAGTAGAAGCACTTGAAGCAGTAATTAGAGGCTGCAGAAGGCAGCAGCCGCAGCAGCAGCAGCAGCAGAGGAAGAGGAGTAGTACTACGACTACAACGGTCACCATAGTCGTTCTTATCGTAGCACACAAAGCAGGAGCCGAAGCAGCAGCTGTGTCAGCCAAGCAGCGACCGCAGCTTCCGAGTAGGGAAGCATGAAGGTGAGCTCCGGGTTAGTTTCGTTGTCCTGAAGGTAACAGGGCTTAGGGTTTAGGGTTTAAGGGTTAGTTTAAGCTGTGGTGATACTTACGGCTTAGTAACTAGGGACATAACTAGGGAAGCTATATCTGCAAAACATTAAGTCCCATGATCCGGCTTTCAAAACCGATCTGGGTTTTGGGCCTCGACTACCAAGGCACAAGCCCTTTGAGGTTCCGGTGAGCCGAGCGAGTGTATAAAACATAAAACAAAAGCCACATTTCTCCAAGCACACCAGATTGGAAGTGTCTAGCAAGTAAGTGTGCCCTGTGCCCAAATGCACTTGAAGCTTCAGACTATACAAGCAGATCTAGGAAGTAAATACAGCACAAAAGACCCACGCAGCACAGAACAAGCCTCAGCACCAAATCTAAATCGATTCCACCTTGGCATGTAAGGAGTTCAGACTTCCCGGCTTTTTGCCGTGGCGTGGAGCGAGCCTTACTTGGAGGGTCGGGGGACTTAGTAACTGGGCTATTTTAAGGACTTAAAAGTACCATAAACCCCAATTAAGGTCCCTTTTCGGGTACTTATAAGTCTACTTACTACCTACTTACTAAGTCCCCTAAAGACCCTCCAAGTAGGCTGCCCAAGCAGCCCGCGAAGCTTAAATCACAATATGAAGCCCCTTATAATTTAAGGTATATTGCTTAATTAAGGGGAATTGGGCTCTCTGTGTAGGCACTGAGTGCAGCCAGGCGGCAGCAATCAAGTGAAGTTGGGTTGTCGGGCACCAGCAACACATTCCTTCGCAAAGTGGCTCCACGGCTCAGAATGGAAAGTGCTGCAGCTCACCGCTTTTTTGCATAGTGGGGTGGGTCAGAGTATAATTACAAGAATTAAAGAACCCCAATTCTCGGGCTTAAGCTATCAGGGTGGAGAGCAAAAGTGATGGGTGTCACGGTACAGGGATTTAGGGACTAGGAAGAGTTTATTCGGGAGTTTCCGAAAATACAGGACCTTAATATAGTACCCTAAATAGTAGGATCCTCATTATAGGGACCCCAGAAGAAGGTACCCCGAATTTTCGTAATCATCCATTTAGAGTTGCACGGCGTTTCGATTGCAAACTGCAGTGCCCAGGAGCTCGCGATGTCGAAGTCGCAGAGTGACCAGCCTACTCGCAGGTCCATGGGTAGTCATAAGTGGGGTTATAGGGTTCCTCTAATGGTTCTGTAGGGCAGGGCTTTATAGGGTTTTGTAGGGTTTAGGGGTAGTTATAAGTGGGGTTATTGACCAGCCTCTGCCATCCAAAGACTACAGGGTGGACTCGGTTCAGGGTTTTTCAGGGTTTAGGGTTTAAGGGTTTAGGGTGACAGGGTGGAGTCGGTTCAGGGTTTCTAAGGTGCAGGGGACTAGAGTTTAGGAAACCTACGGCAACTGCAGTACCAAACATGCAGTGGTACGAGTGCTTACCCAGACCCCCGGGAGGATCTAGAAAGTAGATCCCCTAATTTGGGGCCCTATACTACCAAGGGTACTTTATAGGAACCCCCGTTAAGGGATCTACTTTTTGGATCCTCCCGGGGGCCTGGGTAAGGCTAGCCTATAACCTCTCCTTCAAGGCAGCTTTGCCGTTCTGCCTCAGGACGAAGCGCCCAAGTTATTAGTGGGGTCATAAGTCCCCTAGTACGGTTTATAACTATGGTTACCCTATTTATAGCCCCACTTATAACTACCCATGAGCCTCCTAGTAGATGTTGGAGCGTAGAGGATACATCCGTCATACAGCCAAACACGTGAATCCGAAGCTGAAGCTTGCAACCTCCGGACCCAGCCCCCAAAACCCTACACCCTAAACCCACAACCCCCTAATGTAGATCCAGAACCCTTGTGGTATCCCTTAAACCCAAATTTTTCTGAACCCAAGGCCTGTCTGCCGCACCGTCAGATCCTGGATCTGGCTGACCTGAAGGTTGTTCACTAAGCTCAGGGTTCCGGTTTAAGGTTCCTGAGTGACCCATTATGATATGGGTACCCTTTTTCCTACTATTCGTTCTTTAATCAGGGGACGCTAAACTAAAAGGGAGCCTAGAGGTTGTTCAGGCACGAGGGATATAGGTTTTTGAAGGGTTTAGGGTTCAGGGGTTTAGGGGTGTAGGGGTTTAGGGTAAGGGATAGACAAGACTACAACGGACGGGGGACTCTACATTCAAACTTACTCTTTCCGAAACTTAGGTCCCCAGGCAGGAGGTTTTCGAAGATGGTTTATGTCCAACAAGGTTGAAGGATAAGCTGATGCTCTGTGCGCTGGCAAGGGTGTGCGGGCCCAGCCGTACTTGATCACATGCTATATGCAGATCAAAATAGGGTTTTGGGGTTGCCTTATTCTGGTTATAGCATGAAATACCCTCATATCCTGCTCTAATTATTAAGGCCCCTACATTATCAGCTAGTTGCGTGCACCGGCTCCGGACATGAACTTCGTGTGGTCCCCGTCCATAAAGTTGGACACGCCTATCAGTGAAGAGTTGCGACGGAGGTTGCGCTTGGAACATGGAGCTGTCATGGCCCATGTGCCATGCCGAGTGCAAGGCTGCGTAGTGCCCTGCAGACGGTGCAGGTTTATTTGAACCACTGGGCTCGGATTCATCCGCGAGGGTTTCGCCCATTCCAGCAGATGGTCGCTGTAATGAAACTATTGTCTCATGTGCCAGAGAAGGCGCCGTTTGGCCAGGGAAACCAGTGCCAGCGATTGACAGGCATCCAAGTGCACCTTGAAGAGCACTGCCGATGCATCACACTGATCCTCATCCCAACCCCAGGTGTAACTAATAGGGTACGGCTTCAGCATCTCTGTCTGAGGCTTCTGCTAGTTTGGTTCAGGCATGAATGCCTCGAAGGCCGAAGCCTTGACCCTACATCCCCAAAACGATTATGCATGGCCTCTTATTTCAGCAGAGCCTTCAAACGAAACTCCTCAGACTCAGACCGAACGCGCCCTTTTGCAACCTAAATCCAAAGCCCTCGAGGGTGCTTTGAAGGGTTTCTTTTAGGGCTGCTGTCAAGAACTCAAGTAACAGAGTTGTAGGAGTGTCGGGTTTAGTGTATAACAGGACTTTTAAGTAACCAAAGAGAAAAAAGTATAGACTTTTATTTATTAATGGTTCCTTTAAGGAACAGGTACCAAGAACAAGTATTCAAGTATGCTACTCCAAACTCCAAACCCAGGTTTAGTTGTTTTTGCATAACCCCCCCCCCCCCCAAGCCCTCAACATCCTTCAGATCCCTATGCCTGGCCATGTGAACCCTTTGTAACTCCTACAGACCCTCCCATGAGCCCCCTTAGGGTTGAGGGTTTCGGGTTTGGGGCCCTATGTAGACCCTATAAGCCCTATCAACCAAACCCGAAACCCCCAAAACCGCAACAAGACCTTGAAAGTCCCTTAAAAGCATGAAAAAGGGCTAAGGGCCCATACTTCTAACTTTGGAACCCGAAACCCTTGGATCCTCCTAGAGAAAGCCCACGCCTTGCTTACCTTTGGTTAGTAGGGAAGGGAAGAATGGTAGTAATATCAGTTATAATTATACCCCACTCCTCCATTCCCTACTAACCACAGCCCAACCCTTGTTGCGAAGAGCCACGAGGAGACTCTCAGTGATCCTCTCACGCGAGATGCACGACTCCACGGACAGGAACCTAAGTGTTTTAGGGTTTAGGGGTTTAGGGTTTAGGGCTTTAGGGCTTAGGGGTTTAAGGGCTTTAGGGTTTCGGGGTTTAGGGCTTTGGGGCTTATTTCTTAGAGTTTAGGGCTTTCAGGGTCGAGACTGTAAGGTAGAGATTAGGGGTCTAGGTTTCGACCAGGAGGGAAACTGAGAGTTTAGAGTTCAGGGGTTTGCCGAGACTGAGCTTTTCGGGTGCTCAGGGCTTGGGATTTAGATTTAGGCTTTGGGGTCTGGGGTTTAGGGCTTCGGGCAGGGGTTTAGGGTTGGGGGTTCAGGCTATGTCTCGGAGTTTGATCTGAGCTTTCGGGTTTAGCTTTGGGTTTAGGTTTCGTGCCTTTTGGAATCTGCCCCTAGAGTCGCCATACCAAAGAAAGCAGACTATTTGCCACTCCCAAGCAGCCGTATTTCGGTAGCCTCAAAACTGAGCTCGTTAATCACATGATCTTGCGCAAGCCCGTCATGCTGAAAGCCAATATTTGGATTGTGCTTTGGATTGTGCAGAGGTGTCGGGCGTGTGTGTGTGTGTGTATAAATACGGGTGTGTATACACTATGGGGCCGCACGACCAGTTCCTCATGCACATACCATATACACACACGTGTTATAGAACATGTAAGCCCAGTTGTAAACAATAGGAGACATCATTGCAGCTACAAGCAAGCAGGCAGCTGCATACAGAAATAGGACACATTCGTACGGCTATCCTGTGTCTCTCAAACTCCAGGGTTAAAACCCTAAACACCCAGGAACCGTAACACCCCTGAAACCCCCGAAACACTCACAACCCTTAAAACCCAAAAACCCCTGAACCTTGAATGAAAACCCTAAAGCCGTGGAGGTTTAGGGATCCTGAAGACCACCGGAGCAAAAGTGCTGAGTGAAGAGCTTCAGGCTCGGCCGTGTCTTGAACTTGATCACGGTTGGCAGCACGATTACCTGACCGTTGGGGGTTTAGGGGTGTAGGTCATTTTTGGAGTTGGCGGTTTAAGCTTTGAGAGGTTTAGGTGCGATTATCTGAGCTTTAGGCTACAGGGTTTAGAAGGGTGTAAGGGCGATTTTCGAGAGGGCCCAATACCTCGTAATTGAATATGCCTTGAACTTGGCTTCAGGGGCCAATAAACCACTACAAAAGCATATAAATACCGACACTCCCTCGAACCCGTCAATCTCAGCAGCAGCAGTTCCCTAAACCCTAAACCCCTATACATTAGAAGGGGCCCCCACCCTGTAATAGTGGTTTCAACTACAAAAGCATATAAATACCGACACTCCCTCGAACCCGTCAATCTTAGCAGCAGCAGTTCCCTAAACCCTAAACCCCTATACATTAGAAGGGGCCCCCACCCTGTAATAGTGGTTTCATAGGAGTATAATAGGGACTATTATGATCCTTATAGTCACTATTACAGGGTGGGGGCAGCTTCTCACCTATACTCAGTAATAGTTGAATAATATTCATAATATGGATATAGTAGGACCTTAATAGTCGCCCTATTATAGACTCTTACTGTATGGGGGGCCGTACCTAACCTATACAGCCCAAGGCAGGCTCTGAAGCGCTACAGGACTCTATAGAGGCCCAAGAATTGGACGACGCTTTAAAGCTCTCAAGCCGTCTTTTCCTCAACCCTTGAAGCCCTTAAAGCCCTAAATCTTCGCGTGTCCGTGCCAACCCTGAGCTCTATAAGCCTCAGAAACACCCAAACCTCCAAACTCTAAAACCCCCAAAAACTTCTCAACCTCAAACATAACCACAAAAAAACCCTAAACCCTGAAACCCCTAAAAACTCCTAAACCTCAAAAACCTAACACACATACTTTGGGGTTTAGGCTTTAGGGGTTTAGGGTTTAGGGTTTCGCAAAGGGGCTGGGGCATCGCTGTTCCGGCAGAGGCAGCAGCAACCCCAAGGCTCCCAGGGGTGGAACTTCCCGATGATCCGATTCCTTGGGGCTCTGATGCTAGGGTTTGGGTTTAGGGTTTAGGGTTTAGGGGTTTAGGGTTTGGGGTTTAGGGTTTAGGGTTTAGGTTTAGGGTTTAGGGTTTAGGGTTTGGGGTTTAGGGTTTAGGGTTGGGGCTATGATGTTCGAAATTCTTCGCGTTTTTTTCTTCCCGGTATTGTGAGTCAGTTAATCTTTTGACGTATAAATGAATGAACAGTTAAACAAATACATAGTTAGTGAAATAAAATAGTTTCAAACATGGAATGTGTGTGTACATATATGTACACATGCAAATAACACTAAACAAGAAAACACGTTATGTATATCGCTATGTAACACTTCTGCAACAGCTTCCATGAGGGTATTAAGTTTCAGGTTGTAGGGTTGTAGCCTTTGAGGTTCAGGGTCCGGTTTGAAGACGAACTTTGGCCTAGTTCCCAAACCCCACACCCCCAAACCCTGCCTACAAGCCTGAACTTTGACACTTCTGTTGCTCTTTGTGAGACGTCCCATTAACTGTTCAGGATATGTAAACCCTGAAGGCTTAAAGGTTACCTAACATAGTGGCCTTAATAATTAGAAAAGGGTTTGGGGGTATTTTATACTATAATTATAATAAGGAACCCCAAAACCCTAGTCTAATTATTAAGGGCCCCGCAGTACCCAGCTCAACCGGCAGGTAAGCCTCGGCTCTGAATGCACAACCCCACAGGCCATGAAACCCCCAACAAAGATTTAATGACCCGAACAGGGTAACGGGGTATAGTCTAGTATACTTACACTCGGGACTACGTGGGGATACGCTTGGCAACTATTCTCGCTCTTTTCCTGGACTTTGAAGTATCCAGGGAGAAGCAAGTATAGACTTTCATGTCATAATGGTTCCTTCAAGGAACAGGTACCAACCAATTCAAGTATGGTACTCCAAACCCAGGTTTCTTAAAGCCCCGTGGGGCCGCTTCTTAATCTCCGACGGTCCGAAACCCGTACGTGGAGGTTCATGGGTAGTTAAAAGTAGTGCTACAAGTCCCTTATTATGAGTTATAAGTATAGTTACCCTACTTAGAACTCTACTTATAACTACCCATGAATCTCCAAGTAGCGTCCAAAACTGCAGCCTAAACTGTAACGCATCAAGTGCTTGAAACGCCGAAATCACCGTCAGAACCCTCATGGAACAATTGCATTTACGGAAATCCCTCTCGGCCCTAGATCCTAAACCCCAAAACCCTCAACCTGAAACCGTAAAGCCATAAGAACCCTAAACCCCCGATTCAAAGGAAGCAAGCTGCTTCTCTTGCATTACCTTTGCATTCTTGAGTTCGTGGAGGCTCCTGTCGGCGCAGAACAGAGCTTGTGAAAAGTTGTCTTGCTTTTTGGCAGCCCAAGACCCTACATGTACAGCGATATAGATACGAGGACTGAAAGGGATACCTTTTAGTATATTTCCATGGAGACTAACCGGGGAGATTGAAAATTGGTCATTCAGTTGGTTTCCTTTGGGTTGGATCTCTGGTGCTTGCGGTTTGGGGTTTGCTGCCTTTTGGATTTAGGTTTAACAATGCCGCCGGGCCGAAATTAGGCAAACGTTGGGGGTCATGGGATGCTTTGCCTTGTATACCCAGTAACCTAAGAATAAAAAGGCCTCTCTTTTTGGTATTGGGTAACTTTATAAGGAACCTAGGACTACAACAAAGGCCATAAGGGTACTACTTGGCATCCTAGGATGCTTTGCGTTCGTGCATGTCGTGGCCATGGTCGCTGCGCCGTGACAAGTGCTGACACTGCTATAGTAGAAGCCAGAAACTTGGAACATCATTATCGTAACCCCTTTATGGTAAATTATTGGGTATCCTACCCTGAAACCATATTCCAACTTTCTGGAGTTCCCTTTAACGAAGTGATGATGGTGATGGCCACCAGGGATATTTGGGTCCCCAATATAGCACGGCACCTAATATTTAGGGTACCCCAAAACGGACCGCAATTTTGACAACTACCCATATGCTGATGGACAGATTCAGATGTTGTTGTTGTTGTTGTTGGCACGTTTGCTGTCAACCTTAACTTGCTTAGTCATGTGGAGGTTCGTGGGACGGGGTTCTTAGCTAAAGCAGCCGTAGCTTCAAGCGCATGCAGAACAAGTTGAAGCATGCCCGGGCCTTGAAGTAGGGCGGGTGAAGTATGAAGCTTCATTTCATAATGGTTCCCTTAAGGCAAGAAGGCACGTGCTGTCGCCTCACTGCCATCCCTGATGCTTGGGTTTAGGGTTTAGGGTTTGGTTTGATCTGATAATGTAGGAGTTGATTAAGAAACCCTGGGTCTATGACCCCCAAATAGTAGGATTCTTCATATAAGGAACCCTCAACAAAGTCCCAAGCTTTCCAATCAGGTTCCTAAAGGCTTATAGTATCCATATAGATCCGTTATAGTAACCCTTATAGATCCCTTTAAAGGAACCCTCATAAGGGCCCAAGGTTTCTTAATCAGGTTCCTACATTAGCTTAAAGGCCTGGTCCAACTCTGAAGCCCCAAAACTGCTACGCCTCAACCCCCCCCCCCCCCCCCCCCCCCCCCGAAAGCGCTAAGATCTTGATCCTGGAAATCCAACCTCAAAGCCCGAATCTCCACAACCACCCCGCAACTCAGACATATGCCTCATAGCATAAGCGTTGGCAAGCACCTCATAGTTTAAAGATGTTAAAGTGTATTTGGCAAGTAAAGGTTATAACTTGGAGGTTCATGGGCAGCTATGAGCAGGGCTATACATCCCCTAATGTGGGGTATAACAACAATTACTCTACTTATATCTACTTATAAACCCACAAGTAACTACCCATGGACCTCCAGGTAGGTGGGCAGTCTGGCTGTTCCATTTCCATACCGACTGTTTGAAGCCCTAGCATCGCCTGAGGATCTTCTTTCGATCCCCCACCTTGTCGCAAAGCACCTGTGCAGGACAAACCCGAAACGCTAAGCCTGAAACCATAAACCACAACCCCTAAACCCCAAACCCTCATTCTGAGGACTTTGGGCCGGGTTTCTTCGCTTTTGCAGGTTTGGGGCTACTTGGAGGTTCATGGGTAGTTATCAGCGGGGTTATAAGTAGCGTAAGTACAATAACATCCCATGTAAAGGGGCTTGTAGCCCGACTTGTAACGATCCATGAACCTCCAAGTATCTCATGATATCCATTCGCCAAGAACCTTCCGAAAGGTAGGGCGACTTTGTCTACAGTACTACTTGCGGAGGTTTCTTTCTACTAAGTGGTGCGCTCATTCAGAATCCTACATATTAGGGTCTTCAGTGTAGTTCCTCTTCTCCTGAACCTTCCTTTCGTCCGAACTGAAACACGAGAAAACGAGTCTGAGCACGCAAAATAGAAAGAACTTTGCAGTCCATGCCCCCTGGGGTCCCTAAGACTATAAAACCCTAAACTTAAAACTTTGAATTCCCTCTCCCCCCTCTCCCCTCCGCTTCGCCCCGCGGCCAAAGCATTTCCGTGCCTGAAGGTCGCTGAGATCCAAGTACACGACATCGGTTCCTATCACGCCGTGATCCTGGTTTTGGCGTTCCCAAGGGTTTGGGTTCTGAAGCTAGGGTTTCCGTTTCGAGGGCTGAGGTGTTTTAGGATGTTCAGGATTTTGGATTTTTCAGCGCAAGGGTTCGGGTTTAGGGATTAGGGGTTTCAGGTGTTTTATGGTTGACCCCCAAACCCATAGTTCACCATGAGTCAAAAGTGACAAAACCCAAAACCCAAAACAGTAGACCCGCAACCCAAAATCGCCAAACTCTAAACCCCCCATAGAAGCCCTTTATGGTTTCATGTAGATCCCGAAATCTTCGATGTTGGGGACTCTTCGTCTTCGGTCTCGAGGCTCTCGAAGACAGGCGGGTATTGCAGGTACCACCGATTTGCTCCGAGAGACTCCAATACCAGTTCATTAAGGAACATACATTAAATCATACCCATTACAATTTAAAGTATGTTCCTTGATTCAGGGGTTTTGGAGTCTTATTTGGGGTGAAGGCGAAGGGTTGTCAGAGCGGTAAATACTGGATTGTGGAGCCGATTTGACACGCTCCAGATACACCGCGAGAAGGCCGGGGATGGACAGCTAGCTGAACGGGGCTTTCCTCGGTCTGCACCTTTGCAGGAAACTCACAGCAAGCCCAAGCACTCATTTTCGCAGCATCGAGTCTGCCAATCTCCAGATAAACGTGTTCAACCAAGTCAGCAGCGTAATGTCGATCAAATTCCTTCGATGCGGAGGACCGGCCGTCAATCAGTGATCCAACGCGTCGAGTGTGGCGTTCAAGGAAAATGTCAGGATTGTTTCGTTTCTCGTTGTCCACACGGCTGGCCGAACACGTTTCCAGCGCTTCTCCGCCTTAAAGGAAGGCTTGCTACCGATGAACCTCCAAGTAATCTACTGTAGGGGCCTTAATAATTAGCTGTACTATTTTGGGTTCCTTATTATAATTATAGTATATTGGGCCCCCAAACCCTATTCTAACTATTAAGGCCCCTTTTGTAATCTAGGCTTTAAGGTCCGGCTTTCGCGCTTGGGGCTTTCGGTGTATCCAGGGACTCAAAGCGACACTCTCAGTCGAAGGGCACCTTAAGCGCAAGATAGGGGGCCTGAATCACAAGAACCTGACCCCTAAACCCAATTCACATTGTGATAGGGTTTCGGGTAGCTGGGCTTCGAAGTAAGCAGGGAGCAGAAAGCGTAAACGTTTAGTTCATAATGGTGCCTTTCAGGAACAAAACCCCAGAAACGCATGCAAGTATGGTACTCCAGAATGCAGGTATTGTCGGAGTATAACTACATAAATAAATAAATATAAATATAAATATATATATATATATATATATATATATCAACCCTAAACCCTAAGCCCTAAGCACCCTAAACCCTATAAGCCCTGAACCCAAAGCCCCAAGCAACATCAACCCTAAACCCTAAGCCCTAAACGGTACTCCAGAACCCCTGGAACCATGCTCAAGGGCACCTTAAGCAAATGCCTTGGCCCCTCGGGTGTGTCCTGGAAAGCTTGCTTGACGTGCGATGCATCCTCGACGGGTGCTTCCGTGGTTCAAGGTCGGGGTATTGGGTTTAGGGTTTAGGATTTGCGATTTAGGGTTCAGGGTTTGGGTTTAGGATTGAGGGTTTAGTCTGCAGGGTTCGGTTGCCCTCACAAATGGCTAGACTTACCAACACCAGAATCGTAAACCCTGGATGGATTTCCTGAACCCCAAAACCAAAGATCCATGAATGTGAATCCTCTTGAACCTAGAACGCCCAAATACCATCTAAGCAACCGAGAAAATTGAACCTATCTTGCTGGAGCTCGGTGCTGTCTTCAGGGTGTTGAAAAACTCCAATGTTGAGGCATGTCTAGGTCTAGGTTTAGGGTTTGGGGCTGCCCAACACCTTGCCAGCACCGAACATAACAAGCTAGCAGTTGGCCTAGAGGTAAGCGAGATACCGTTGATGGCCAGAACCCGGCGTCATCCATGATCAAGTTAAACTCGTCATCCTAAGGCACATAAAGCATCTGCAGATGTTGTGTCCCCAGGCTGAGTAACATTGAACAAGCAAACAATACAGCGTGAAGGTCAAGAAGAATTGCATCTGAAATGAAACCTTGCAAGACATTGATGGCTTTCTAAAGTGGGTCCCATTTTCGGGCCCGTGAAACGGGATCCTACTTCGAGAACTACCCACGTAGAAATGGACTCAGGACAACACTCATTCAAGCGCCTCGTCTGCGCACAACGGGTCAAGCGAAACTCTCGACAGGTTACCCGTGATGGATGAACCTCCTTGCTTCAAGGGCGCCAGTATTCACATCCTTCTTCAAATTTCTGTTGAATGTGAGAAGGTTTTGAAAAACGGGTCTACGTGACCTCACCAACCCATACCCTACTACGAAACCCTTAATGTAAGTAAGGCAGAAACCCTACCAAACCCCCAATCCTTCGATGTAAATACCCCCCAGGCCCTAGTCCTTAACTCTTAACCTCCCAAGCCCCCAAACCAAACCGTAAACCCTAAACCCCACACCCTAAACCTCCCAAACCAAACCCTAAACCCTAAACCTCAATTCTTCACTCACGCATACGGAGTCCTGTGCGAACCTAGCACAGTCACGCCGGCGGCTAAGAAAACTGTACCAGTGAAAAGAAGACGGAACCTAGCTGCCGGAGCCGCCCACACAGTACACCAGGGAGGGCCAACCCAACAGGCAGCAGGGAGAGAAGGAGCTGCTACTGCAAAGATGGGTCCCGCTGCGTGGGAAGATCCGAAAGACCGCATTGGGTAGGAGGGACCGATGCGCTGAAGTCCAAGCTGACTGTGTGGGCCCAGAGACCACAGTAGGCCCCCTTCGTGGAAGAAACGGCAGGAGAAGCGCAGCGCAATGGTAGCGCCAGCCACACCCACAACAAAGAAGGCGGAGGACCACCCGCTCTGAGCTGGGGGGACCTCATGTCATCCAGACCGAGGCCGACAGAGGAGGCCTGAACACATGCAGGGCTGGTCGCGCCCGAAGGTCCCATGGCTGCCCAACTCCAAGGCGGGACCACAAAGACCAAAGACCGTGCCACGCAGATGGAAGTTGACCGCGATGCGACCAGCAAGAAGAGGCGAAGGGAGAAAGTGGCATGACGCAGGAGGGACGTCAGCGGTGCAGGTGACCCATCGCAGGCCGACCCCCAAAGGGTTGACGTTCGCCGGTACCGCGGCAGGGGCAGCAACGGGAGCCGGAACAGCTACAGGTGCAGAGGCGACGGGGCCAGCAGTTTCCTGCAAACCCTCCCCATACTTGGAGGGTCGCGGGACTTAGTAAGTAGGTAGTAAGTAGACTTATAACTACCCTAAAAGGGACCCTAATTGGGGTTATGGTACTTATAAGTCCCTAAAATGACCAGTTGCTAAGTCCCCCGACCCTCCATAACCGGCCTCGGGGAGCTCCCGTACTATCTCGGCGTCGGAACAAGTACGGCCGTCCCAAACCCTAAATGGGTAGTTGGTCAAAATTAAGGTCCCTTTTGGGGTGCCCTAAATATTAGGTGCCGTGTTATAATAGGGACCCAAAGCGGGACCCTAATTTTGACAACCACCCAAATCCATAAACCCCAAACCTCCCAAAACCCTAACTCCAAACCAGACCTGGAAGCTGAACCCCGGATTCCCCGAGATCCCGGATATCGGAGTATACGCGGGGTATGCTTTTTATAGTTGCGACAGAGGAAGCCTAAAGAAGACTGTTGCTTTTTCTGGCCACAATCAAGGAACCCTAAAGAACGCTATTGCTTTTCGCTTTTTTATAGTTTAAGAAAGGAGCCCTAAAGAAAAATACGAGTAAGTAATCTGACCCCTCTACTCGTGCCGGTGTAGGGACAGAGGCAAAAGCAGAAGGCCAGGCACGGGCGAACAACAACTGCAGCTGGTCTTATATCAATTTCACCATTCACCCTAAATCCTCAACCCTACACCCCAAATCCAAAATCCTACGCCCTAAATCCTTGATCCTACACCCCGAATCCTCGACCCCAAACCCTTAACCCAAGCAGTGGAGTTGAGGCTCTTTCAAGTCCAGCTTGCCCAGCCATTTCTCTGCCAGCTCCTCCCGTGAAGGCTGCGACGCTGTAGCTGGGCTTAGGGTCTAGGTTTTAGGGCCAAAGCTGGACGACCACAGCATGCGAAACTCTCAGGACATGTGTCCTGAACCCACAACCCTAAGCACCGAATTACTCCAAGCCCGTAAGAGCAAACCCTAGTCTCGATATGCTGTGAGAAGGTCAGCAAGAGCTGTTTTTTTGGATATCCTAGTAGAAAGGAGTAATCGAATCGAAGCCCGTAGCACATGCACTCTAGCGGAAGGGTACTGTAGTGCCATAGTAACACGAAGGGACTATACGGGTATACCAACCACTCAGACCTCCATTTACCCTGCGAGCCCGTCCAAGATCCCTTAGCGTCCTCTGAGGTGCACTTCTCCACGCTGGCCAGGGTGCCATAATCGAACATGCCCTCTCGAACAGGGCTGTTCTACACTCGGGAGGATCTAGAAAGTAGATCCCCTAATTTGGGGCCCTATTCTACTAAGGGTACTTTATAGGAACCCCCAGTAAGGGATCTGCTTTTTGGATCCTCCCAAGGGTCTGGGACTTGCTTCAATCAGAGAACCCGAGACCCCAAACCAGAAACCCTAAACCCTACTCGCCCTAAAGTTGATGGGCATTGGTAGGACAACCTTGATAGAAAACTCCAAGACGTGAGTAAAGCTTCTGACGTGGCTTGTGCCAGTTGTGCCCCACCGAAGAATGCCAACTGTGACGCATAAGAGGGGTTGGGGCTTGATCGAGCATGGTTTTTTAAGATATAGGCTTTGAGCGGTTAAGATGATTTAGTTTTAGGGTGTAGGGTCGAGGGCTTGAGGGTTTAGGGACTGGAGTTGAGAGCTGAAGACTTCGTGCTTGGGCATCTAGGGTTTACGGTTTATGGTTCAGATTTAGATTCTGAGAGTTTCATGGCTTGAGGCTTTCAGAGTTTGGGGGTTTAGGGTTGAGGGATTTTAGGCTTGGCGTTCAAGTTCCGGCGTTTAAGGTTTAGAGGAGCTTAGGCCTTGGAGGTTTCGGGTACTTGGAGGGTCGGGGGACTTAGTAACTGGCTATTTTAGGGACTTGTAAGTACCATAACCCCATAGGGTCCCTTTGAGGGAACTTATAAGCCTACTTACTACCTACTCACTAAGTCCCCCGACCCTCCAAGTACAGGGGTCTCTGGCAAGAGCAGACACGAAATCACAAACCTTGGATGAATAACTAACGCTCTGAACCATCCGATGTAATTGCCACCATCAGTGGTCATTAGACTGGAGACATTTGGCATTCCTTCCATTTCTCATGCGTGACTCTTCCTACCTGTCTGGCATCATGGGCAACTAAAGGTTAACCTTTTTGGTTATATAGGGATTATGTAGGGACTATACTATCCCAAAAAAGGCTAAAGGTTACCTACTCTACGACTAGGTCTTCATGACTCGCTATTCTTACTTACCAAATACCCATGGGTCGAAAAGTTCAGGCTTCCAGAATCAGACTACTTGGAGGTTCATGTGTAGTTACTATTAGGGTTATAAGTTGGGTAACTGTACTCATAATTCATATAAGGGGACTTATAACTCCACTTTTAACTACCCATGAACCTCCAAGCACTCATACGAAACCCACAGGTGGCAGACAAGTTGGGTTGGGCACCAGTATGAGTTCCCAGAGACTCCAATACCCCTTGGTTAAGGAATATGCCAAAAATCCTATCAGGGTTCATATTATATTTTAAGGTATATTCGTTAATCAAGGGTTTGGGAGTCTCTGGGTTTAGGGTTTAGTGCTTGGAGCTGTTTCCCAGCGGAGATTTCTCAGACAAAAAGGCGCCTGCTGCTTCGGCTTTGGCACGAGGGGTGCGGCCATGGCTTTTGTCAGGCCTGCGTTTAAGTTGGGGTTTAGGGTTTATTTAGTGTGTCCTAAACCCTAAACCGCTAAACTGTCTAAAACCCCAAATAAACCCCAGGGTTCAGGGTGTACTTGGGGGTTCATGGGTAGTTCTAATCCGGGTTATAAATCCCCGACTATGGGTTATACACATAATTACTTACCCTACGTATAACCCCGCATATCAAGTAGGTTCGGGGTTGGGGTTCCTTTCCTCTTTGGGATTGGGCAACCTATACTTGGTCAGCAAGCGGCGCTAAAAAACAGGTAAGCAGACTTGTAATTGCTTATAACCCTGCTTGAAGTACTTACACTTACGAAGTCCCACGATCCTCCAATTACATGGGGGTCTAACGTCTGAAGCAATTGGTATATACTTCGGGGTCTGAGATCTAGCATGTCTCCCTACTTCGTGCTGCTGGAAGTGCCAGGATGAGGTCTAGGGGGCACCGTTTAGGGATTAGGGTTGAGGATAGTTCCAAGTTTTTGACCTTCATAGCGACCTTCTTGGTGGCAATCCTGACACAGAAGAGTCGAAAAGAGGCCACTCCCGTAAGGACCCCCCCCCCACCCTAATGCAAGAGCCTGATTAAGAATTCCTGGGCATCTAGCCCTCAAACTAATAGGATTCCTAATAATGGCCCAAGGTTTCTCCTACATTAGGCCCCAAACTGCGGCCCAGAGGCAACGAGAAAACTCGTAAGAAATGGAAAGACACGAGGGTGGATGTTCCCCTTGAGCCCGGCCGCCCGAGGGAAGATCAATGACTCGTGAGATGCGATCAGCTTGAAACAAAGCATGAACTTTACATGCAAGCTTTTATGTATATGTATATATGTATATATATATATATATATATATATTTATATTTATAAAGTATATAAATACGTTGAAACATGTGTACATATATATATATATGTATGTATGCAAATATGCATGTATGTACTTCTGTAGCCATGCATGTGTGTAAGTGTGCATGGTGGGCTCTCTGGTTCCTTCGCCACCCGAAACGCTACAGGCGCATCGAACCGTCAGTGGATTTTGAAGTAACCAGGGGGAAAAAGTATAGACTTTTACTTCATAATGGTTCCTTTAAGGAACAGGTACCAAAAAACGTACTCAAGTATGGTACTCCAAACCCAGGTAACTCTATTTGCTGTTGCAGTACGGTCACTTGCACGAGCCCTTACCGTAGGTTCATAGTACCTAATGATCATATACTCCCCCAAATAGTAACCTACATAAGTACTACGTGAAGCCCAAGTACCTCACATTATTGGGTGACCCGTAGGGTTGACCCTACTAAACCCTTAGCTAGGTTCCTGAGTAGCCCCATTATATTAAGGGTAGTTACCCTTTTTCCTACTATTCCGAGACCCTTGAAGAAAAAGGGCAAGAGGACTCCGGAACCTAGTAACTAGACCCTAACCGCCCATAGATTCCTTATGGAACGACCCCTAAACCCCAAAACCCTGAACTCTAAATCCTGAACCCTAAACCCTACATAAGTCCTAAACCTTAAAACCCTAAACCCTCAACTCTAAACCCTAAATCCTTAACCCTTAAAGATACAGACAATGATATGAACCCTAATAAGTGTATATGCAAGCTATGCCTACTTCTTTTGGACCCTGCTCTGCATCCGAGCCGTCCACAGCCGTAGCAGAAGAGGCTCCTCTGATGCGCCGGGAGCCAGGGGCAGAAACCTGGACTGAATGAACAATTGGGAGTTTCCGAAATAAGGAGACCTCAAGTAAGGACCCTGCAAAGTAGGATCATTATAAAAGGCCCCGAAATGAGGTAGCCCAAAATTTGAGAAACTCCCAATTGGCGCCGTTACGGTTTAGGGTTTAGGGCTTGGGGTCTACTTGGAGGGTCGGGGGGCTTAGTAACTGGTTATTTTACGGAACTATAAGTACCATAACCCCAATTAGGGTCCCTTTTAGGGCACTTATAAGTCTACTTACTACCTACTTACTAAGTCCCCCGACCCTCCAAGTAGTGTATCAGGATCCCAGGTTGCCTTTATTTAAGGAATATAGCTGGGAAAAAGGTCCGCTGACAGATATAGTTATGATGAAGTATTCTTGTCATATTGTTCCTGAGGGTTCCACGCATTAATACCTATCTATATATAAACAAACAAATAAATGTGTATAGGTATACATATACTAGTCTTATACTGCTCTAATAGTGTTCTTATCAGAGTATATCTTTAGGTTTCCTTATGATGACTATACTTCTACTGTACCCCACAACCATATTGTATTGCGAGACTTTCCGAAAGAGGCCAGGGCCCTTCACTAAGGGAGTGTACCCAGAGCCTCCAAAACCCCTGAATTAAGGAATATACCTTAAATTATAATAGGAGTCCTATTATAATTTAAGGTATATTCCATAACTAAGGGGTTTTGGAGTCTCTGAGTATCCCAAATCAATGAAAGGTCCATGCAACGTAACGTAGATTCCTTAGTTGAGGGGTGTTGGGCTCTTTGGGTTTTCGCTGAACCCAAGTGCGGTGTTGTAGGGCTTTGACAAGGGTTAAGGGTTTTAGGGATAAGGGTTACGGGTTCAGGTAATGTAGGGGCCTTAACAATTAGAATAGGGTTCGGGGTTTATTACATCATAGTTATAACAAGGAACCCAGCAAAACCCTCCAATTCTTAAGGCCCCTATAGTACGCCGCTCATGTGCGCAGTCATTCCAAGCCGTGCTTGCAAGGCGCTTATGGACACTGTGGTGTGCGACCCACAGCCCTACATCTTAGGCGCTGAGTACCCCAGTCCAAACAAGGTCAACCTATTGAAATATGGTAGGCTTATATGAACCCCAAAAGGTTAAAGGCTACCTACTCAGCGACTAAGACATTCTAAACCCACTGGTGTTTCCATCGGAGCTGTAGAATGCAAATTGTTTATCGACTAGTTCTTGATCGGAACGCCAAGCCTTTACACACCTTCCAGCAAATCCCGAAGCCTGACTAACACCTTGAGCCGAACAGGACAAACAGACTGAGAACACTTCCTGCCCACCCAACGACGAGTGTTTCAAACCGCTTCGAAGGCCATGAAAGGTGGTCAGATGTAGGCCCTCAGTGTCCATCGAACCGGAGTAGGAACCTGCTGCTATACTCCTGCTACTGCTACTACGGCTACTGCTCTTCCTACTACTGCCGCAGCTGCTGCTACTACGACGACTCATTACGACCCTGTGTACAATGTTCCGTTATCCCTAAGTGCAATGCAGCAAGTTTGGCAACACATGGTCGTCGTCGTCGTCATTCTCACCATCCTGACGATTACCGTTATCATCGTCGTCTTCATCAGCAGCACCAGCATCACTGCCATCATCATAGTCATCATCACCACCACCGTCATGATCATACATAATTAGAGCTAGGTTCATCGTGGCTATCATCATCATGACCACCATTAACAACAACATCATCCACTTTGCCACTGCTAAAATCATAAACATTCGCCGATGGAAGTTGAATTGCACACTGCACTGAGACCCTGGCTGGACGAAGTCTGTGCCTCAGCCAGCAGCGAAATCAACAGCAGCTGTTATACGGCAAGAAGTATGCACCCCGAAGACAGGATGCTTCAGACGATGGCGACACCGGCGATGTTGCTTTTCATGACGATGATGATGATGATGATGATGAGGGCGAGACAGAATGACGATAGCTGGCATTGCTGCGTCACAGTGATGATCTCGAGATGACTGCTCGCATGTTGCAATCTTGTTGAACCAATACTTGGAGGGTCGGGGGACTTAGTAAGTAGGTAGTAAGTAGACTTATAAGTACCCTAAAAGGGACCCTAATTGGGGTTATGGTACTTATAGGTCCCTGAAATAACCAATTACTAAGTCCCCCGACCCTCCAAGTGTTCGAGAACTCCGGAAATGCGTCCAAGAGCTTCTTTCAGAGGGCAAATAGTTGCTGAGGCCTACGGCTCATTAAGGGATCGAGGGCGAGGGGCAAAGGAACAAATTGCCATTGGCTTCAGCACAAAAACCCAACCTTGAACCCGAAAGAATAAAGCCCCATCCACCAGCAGTTCTGCAGCGGTCGAAACCTCAATCTTTTGCACAAAAAAAACTTCCAGATGCGGATCTGCATAAACCCCTAGCAGCCCTGACTTGCCCCCTTCCCCCCCCTCCCCTCAGTTTCCAAGGAGAAGGCAGAAACCCAAAATGCACTCACCTGCGACCAGCAAATCCTATCAACTGACGAAGTCACCCAAATCACCAAACCCCTAAACCCTAAACCCTAAACTTCGGCAAATATGAGCTCTAAAACTTTAAACATGCTGATGCACAGGAATCCTGGCCTCCCAAAACCGTCGTCTTGCGCAGCACCAGCTGCAACGAGCAGGGAAGGGCCTGCGACATGCGGCGTCCGTTTTTTTTTGCAGGGTGCCTGGTTTGAGGGTTGTTTTAAAAGTGCAATAGCCCGTTTCTCCACAGCAGTAGAGACAAAAGCTTTAGGGCTCGAGGACTTGCGGAAGGTTGAGACGCTGAACTTGAGCTTGCTTGGTCAACACGTCCTGTCGCTTTGCGTACTGATCGAAAACATCAAGCGGACATAACACCCGGCTAAGACCCTTTTCGCCTGTACTAAACCCTTTGTAGAAGCCGTTCTATAATCCGTCGCAAACCCTCAACCAGAGACAAAGCCCCGATGCAATATCTGGAATCTCATCCATCTAGAGCCTGAAGCATATCCTGGCGTTTAGGGATTCGGGTTCAGGGTTCACGGAATTGGGGATTGGCAGGTTACGGGTTTCAGGATTGGGGGGGTTGAAGAACCCTCACAGCATCAATCCTTGAAGCGGTCTCCGATGAAGTAACCTTTCGTAGTATCTAGTATAGTATCTAGTAGCAAGGGTAGTTGGAGGTTCATGGGTAGTTCTAAGTGGAGTTATAGGTAGGGTAGCAATAATTAACTACCCAAGAACCTCCAAGTGAGTTGA